CTATGTGTCAGCTATAATCACCAGTTACTCTGTGTGAAGATGTGTTCAGTAATCACATTACAACTTATGATGCCTCGGTACAGATTGAACTAAAGTTTCTATATTATTTTTATGTGCAGCCGTTTACCAAAGACTGCTGACATGTTAATGCATCAGCAGTTAGAATCCAATAATATAATATGTGCTAATATATCACTCACAGAGGACATCATGCTGCATTACATTTATGTTTACTTCTTTTAAAGTAATGTAATATGTCTGTTCTTTTACTTGAGTTTTGAATGCAGACAGTGGAGTAGGTAATGGAGTATTTATGACACTGACATTACAAACACACAGTTCACACGAGGCAGACAAGACTTAAATGTGTTAGCAGCACAGTTTTTCCAGCTTGTGTATGTTTGTGAGAATATATACATGATACATACTTTGTTCCCCCCCAGGTGGCGTCTTTTGGCCTTTGAACAGAGGCACTGAGGAAAGGCCTGCAGACAACAGTCCTCCACTCCTCCCTGATTATGAGGAAGAGGAAGAAATCGACGTTGTTGGTGTGGCTGATGAGGAGGAGCTTCAGGTGGAGCCTCATGGAGCTCATGGAGAAGGTGAGAGGGATGGTGGACCTCAACAGCAGGAGCATCCTCCACTCCTCCCTGATTATGAGGAAGAGGAAGAAGAGATAGATGTTGTTGGTGACGGCCGTGGCCGCTTTGACCGGCCCAACAGCAGGAGAGGAGAGGAAAGAGAGGAGGAACTGAATCAGAATAGACCTCCCTCTCCTCCACGTCAGCATCCCAACGGTGGGATGGAAGGGGAGCAACGGGATCCTGCTGCTCATTTTCCTGCTCCTCATGCTGACCCTTATGCTCCTTTCGGTTTTCCTTGTGCTCCTCCTTTTGCTCCTCCTTATGTTCCTCCTTTTGCCTCTCCCTATGCTCCTCCTTTTGTTCCTCATGCTCCTCCTTTTGCTCTTCCTTATGTTCCTCCTTTTGCCCCTCCCTATGCTCCTCCTTTTGTTCTTCATGCTCCTCCTTTTGCTTCTCCTTATGCTCCTCTGTTTGCCGTTCCTTATGCTCCTCGCATATTTTTTAATGCTCCTCTTCGTGCTGACCCTCACACTCCTCCTCATGCTGACCCTCATGCTTTCCCTGATGATGCTGCTGTGGCTGAAGCAGAAAGGTCTGAGCCCCCTGAACTTGAGACCCTTGGGCCACTTTCCTCAGAGGAGTGTTTAGGATTCTCCAGCAGTGATAGCTCTCTTGAAGAAGACCCTCAGTCTTCCACAAGGAGGAGGAGCAGGGAAGAGAGCGACGAGGAGCAGGTTGCCCCTAAGAGGCCGAGGTGGTCTGACGAGAGCGACTCAGACTAACTCCACGATGCTCAACATGGCCGACACTCCAGGTCCTTTCTCGCTCCCGCTGCGGGGACCCTTTCTGCCACTGACGACTGGTCTCTGCGTCTGCAGGACCAGTGATTCCAGGGACAGCCTCTGCGTCTGGCAGGGCTGAAGACACCCCAGGTAGCGTCTTGCACCGGGGCCTGTTTGTCCCATCGCTACAGTTTGGCACGGCGGCTGGATCGACCTTTCTTTGAACCTGAGGGCCGGTCTTTGCGTCTGGCGGGGCCGGCAGTTCCCCAGGTAGCCCTTGCGTCTGGCAGGGCGGTCGACACCCCGTGCCTGGGCCTTTACGTCTGGCAGACACCTTCCTCGTGTGTTCAAGAGAAGAAAATGGAGAGAAAGCTGCAGAATCAAGAAAGAACTAACATTTTCCTTCAGAGGCGAATAAACATCAACACCACTCTGCTCAAAAGCAGCAGTTTGGAGTTCAGTGACATTTATGTAGACGGAAGAGATCGATCAACCCACCAACCCTGAATTTACCAGAGGAACAGCTGGACTACGGACATTCACTTCATATGGACCAAAAATGTAAGTACAAGTATCTGTTTATTCACATAATATCACTTATTATAATACTCAGCATTATTTATCTTTCTCTCCTCCTATCTTCCCCCACTCCCTGAGCTGCTGCTGTCCACTGTGGATGAAGAAGGTGAGGAAGAGCTTCTGACTTCTAACTAGGGATTTAAAATGGAATAGAACGGGAGAAAGATGACTGATTGTTGAGTCTCATTCCCAGATGCTTACCTTTAATCTCTTTATCCACATAATATTATGTACTCAATATTTCAAAGATTATTTAATTTACTAACCAGTTTATGTCTTACCTTACTCTGTTCCTCCACCACCTGAGCTGCTGCTGTCCACTGTGGATGAAAGTGAGTGTGAGATTCTGTCTTGTAAAGTTACCAAGAACTTGCTTGGTATAATGACAGAAAGTAATGCACAGGATGTAATTATGTAGACCTGTTTATTGATGTAATATTACTGCTACTAAAACAATTTCTCGTTTCACTGTATTTGAGCTTCTGCTGTTCACTGTGGACTGCGGTCTACCTCAAAGACCCGTGATGACAAACAGGAAATGCTTTTTCTGACCCCATCAGAAGGCTGGAGATTGGACAGAGGTATGCTCGTAATGAATAACAACTTTAACAGAAGTTTTTCTCGTACTCATATTGTTATACTGTCACTTATTTTTAGATTACATAATTGTTATTATATTTTTGTTTTTGAACAGAGACTCAACCCTCCTGCAGTTCATCCAAAGTTTCCATGACAACAAAGTAGAAATGCTCACTTTGACCTGATCAGAGGGAAGACTGAACACAGGACGATGGAGAGAGCAGTATTGGCCTGTGTGCAAAATGTGTTTCAGCCCACTGAGCAAGTGGGCTGAAACACATTTTGGAGAATACGTTGATTTGCTTTTTTGCTGACAGCTCGATGAAAAAAATGTATACCACTCTCACAAATATGTAGCTGCAGTAAGCTGCCAGTTAGCTTAGCTGAGCTTAGCTTAGCGTGAAGATTGGAAACAGGATAACAGCTAGTTTTCAAAATTCAGCACCTCTGAAGTTCACTAATTAACATGTTATATTTCATTTGTCTGTAAAAAGAAATCTCAATTGTAAAAAAAAAATTTGCAGATGATTAGGTTAAGGTTAGTGGCTTTTTACTGTACAGAAAAGCATATCAATGTATTTTCCAAAATGTTGAACTAGTCCTTTAACTTAAAGTGGTGACAAGCTAAAGCTAACATGCTAATGATATTTCTTTAATAATGATAAATTTGTTCAATAGTATCACAGAGGAAGCCTAAAGGTGTTTCCTAGGCTCAAATAACCAGTGACACTACTGATTGATTTATTTAGCCAGCCCTTCGTGGTCCATTATTATAAGTGAGGTTTGGGAGACACTGACAGACCAAGACCAGGATCCACATTCAAGCTGTTTCTGATGTCAGTGCAGGACTCTTCCCAGGTCTCTGGGACTTCTGGAGCCTCTGAGAATGGAAAGACACAAACACCACAGCAGTCCACTGAACACACTGAAACCTTCAGCACAGACTGTCTACACTACACTGCTTTGATACTGAATTCTATCAAATAAAATAAATGAGACATCCGACATGTGAATTAATGCTGTGTTCTGTGAGATATTTGACCCTCAGTGATGCTAAACAGGCAGCTATACTGAGAAAAGTCCAGATTGTTCCAGATTTACTATGTGTCCAACAGTTGAGTTCAAAGATCAGGGTTTAAAGAGGAAGGTCACACTGGGCAGGTTGGGAGCGCTTCAGAATGGTGCAAACAGAGCTTCAGTGTAAACAACAGATGTTTTCTACCAACACAACAAGTAATCAAGTGTAACAGGATTTTTAGAAATCTAATTAACATAGACTGTACCTAAATGATTTATACTATGTTAGTCAGCATTGTCATACACAAATACATATTGTACTTCACTATGCGGGTACCATAACTATGGCAAGAATCATATTTAGTTTAGAGGATTTCACAACAATTTTTCCTTAACACTGTTGCTGAAATGAAGAGATATACAAGCAGGGCAACAATGCCATCAAGTGGTGAAGTAAGAAAACAGCAATACACACAGAATGAAGATCTAAAATCTGAAGAAATAAATACATGAAAAAAGCAACATGATAAAATGTGATAAATATTACAAATTTGAAAATAGATTTTGACATTTAGGGTAAGATATAGTGAACTTTAAAACTATAAACTAAAATTAAACCACTATTGAACCAATGTGCATGGAGATTTGTTTTTGAATCAAATATCACTATTATAAATGTAGCAGTTGTGGGGTGAGAAGCTTATAGATGAATGTTAAAGCTAAAAAAATGTGTTTGTGGGAATTAGACATTTTGATTTGGCTACAGTCGGCTGGGAACACAGCTGGTTCTGCTTCCTGCAAGTGCTCAGAGGCTTCAACATCTGTAAGGGTGGTCAGAGCTACACACACACACACACACTGCTAGAGTACTACTGCTACTAGTATTACTGCTACTACCACTTCTGTTGCTGCTGACATTAGGCTACTATGCAACTACATACACAGATACATGAAACACATAGGGCATGTTTACTTGTACAATATTTACTCTAGGCAGTGAGGTAGCCAGTTAAATCCAGATAACTTAGAAAAGCTCTGAACATGGACTGAAGGAAAAGAACATTTTTAATCAAGCCTTAGTGCAGCTATCCAGATAACAGTCTGAGAGACATATATGCCATACAGGATGTGTGAAAGATGAAAACAGACCCATGTGTTCCTTGTTGTCTTGCACAAAGTCTCTCTTTTTTTCACTTACCTCTATTCCTCAGTTCACTGACTTTATTCCAATACAGCAATTGTTGTGCTGAGAAATGTTTTCATTTTGAATCTGCTTAATACTAGTTCCACATGAGCTATCAATAGTGACTTATTAAAGGTATTTACACTACCTGCACTACAGCACTGACAATGGCCTGTGTTATCTAACTTTACTTATCGCAGTAATTTGTTGTAGGTAATGCTCTATATAGAGGTGTTCAAGGGAATGTTTGGTTTAGGGATGAGGGGTTTCAGAGGGATGGGGTTGAAATTGGAGTCCACAGAACTCATAGGCTGTAAGCTGCCCCATGCAAATTTGCACATTGCAAAGATAATTTTTTAAACACATTTAACCCTTTAAAGCGCACTCACTGAAATACCTGGAGTGTTATTGGTGGATATAAGAAGACATTTTTTCTTTTTTGATTTTTTAAAAAAGTTTCAGTTTTAGGCTG